TTTTTGGACTTACGAACACCATATACTGAACAATGTGCCAGTGAAGGTATGCGTATTATATATATGTATTTTTTTTTAATTTTGCAATGATAATATTGATATCACTTAAACTATAAAAGACACAGTCATGTCGTACATGATTTTTTGCATCTTTATATTTTTTGTTTTGTGCACTACCTGGGAGGTATGTACTACGATAAGGAGCTAACAGTTAATCAGTGCTAACATCAAATTTTGAATAATTTTTTGATAGATAATTTGAGGTTTTGTACTGAGATATATCATAGTATTAGAAATATAATTAATTAAAATTGGCTAACGAAATCCAGCAACTAGCGAGATATCGCAAGACTTAATCCTTTTAGTATATATACAATGTACATATATGTACGTCCCTGGAACTCCATTTTGCTGGGAGGGACACTTTTATAACAACTATACCTTAAATAATTTAAAAAGATTAATAAATCAAATTAATTTCGAATCAATAAAGGAGAAAAATCTGCATATTAAACCGAAGGCGGACCTTTTATTATAGAGGCAGGCCGGACCTTATATGTTATCGTATTAGGTCCCCTCGGACCTTTAAACGAGGCGGACCAAATATTATGCGACACCGGCGTCGTCCGTCGTGCGTTAACATTTAAACATTTTCAGCTTCTTCTCTGAAACCGCTCAACTAATTTCAACTAATTTTGGCATATAGCATCTATGGGTGAAGGGGGACAAAAATGTGAATTTCATGGTCTCTGCCCCCCTGGGGCCTGAGGGGTGGGGCTAAAACCACCAAAATTAATGCAATCTTTAAAAATCTTCTTCTTTACTCCTGGACATCAAGCAGTCAAACTGTTGACATGATTGTAATAAGCATTGAGCCCTCTACCAAAATTGTGAAATTCATGGCCCTAGGGTCAGGGGTTCTGGTGCTAGGGCGGGGCTATATAGATCATATAGTGAAAGTGCATTATTTCTTTGAAATCTTCTCTATTCCTGGGTATTATTGAAACAAAATGAAAACATAGTTATGATAAGCAAGAGTGACTCTACCAAAATTGTGAAATTCATGGCCCCAGGGTCAGGGGTTCTGGTGCTAGGGTGGGGTTTATATAGATCATATAGTGAAAGTGCATTGTTTCTTTGAAAATCTTCTTCTCTACTCCTGGGTATTATTGAAACAAATTGAATACATACATGTAGTTATGATAAGCAAGTGTGACGCTACCAAAATTGTGAAATTCATAGCCCCAGGGTCAGGGGTTCTGGTGCTAGGGCGGGGCTATATAGATCATATAGTGAAAGTGCATTATTCTTTGAAAATCTTCTTCTCTACTCCTGGGTATTATTGAAACAAATTGAATACATACATGTAGTTATGATAAGCAAGTGTGACTCTACCAAAATGGTGAAATTCATGGCCCCAGGGTCAGGGGTTCTGGTGCTAGGGCGGGGCTATATAGATCATATAGTGAAAATGCATTGTTTCTTTGAAAATCTTCTTCTCTACTCCTGGGTATATTTAAACAAATTAAATACATAGTTATGATAAGCAAGAGTAACTCTACCAAAATTGTGAAATTCATGGCCCCAGGGTCAGGGGTTCTGGTGCTAGGGCGGGGCTATATAGATAATATAGTGAAAGTGCATTGTTTCTTTGAAAATCTTCTTCTCTACTCCTGGGTATTATTGAAACAAATTGAATACATAGTTATGATAAGCAAGAGTGACTCTACCAAAATTGTGAAATTCATAGCCCCAGGGTCAGGGGTTCTGGTGCTAGGGCGGGGCTATATAGATCATATAGTGAAAGTGCATTATTTCTTTGAAAATCTTTTTCTCTACTCCTGGGTATTATTTAAACAAATTAAATACATAGTTATGATAAGCAAGGATGCCTCTTCCAAAATTGTGAAATTCATGGCCCCAGGGTCAGGGGTTCTGGTGCTAGGGTGGGGCTCTATTTATTATATAGTGAAAATGCATTAATGCTTTAAAAATCTTCTTCTCTGCTCCTGGGTATTGTTATGATAAGCAAGGATGCCTCTTCCAAAATTTTGATATTCATGGCCCCAGGGACAGGGGTTCTGGTGCTAGGGTGGGGTCATTTATTATACATATAATTATTTCTTTAAAAACCTTCTTCTCTGCCCCTGGGTATTATTTACACAAACTATAATTAGTACATTGTTATGATACACAAGGATGCCTCTTCCAAAATTGAGAATTGCATGGCCCCAGGGTCAGGGGTTCTGGTGAAAAGGGGGGTGGGGGGCTCTAATGATTATACAGTGAAAAAGCAAAATTTCTCTGAAAATATCCTTTTCTGCCTCTGGTTAGAAAGCACAGAAACTAAGTGTATAGTTATGATGAGCAAGAGTGCTTCTTCCAGAGTAGTGAATTGCATGACCCCTGGGTCAGATGTGCTGGTGTGAGGATAGGGCTCTTGATAATATAGTGAAAATGCATTAATTCTATTAAATAATCTTATCTGCTCCTTAGTTTTAAGCAGATAAACAAAGTGATCACTTATGATGAGCAAACTTCTGGTCCCAGGGTGAGAGGCTCTGGTGTTGATGGGGAGGGGGGGGGGGGCTCTATTGATAATAGAATGAATCTGTAGAAAAAATGCATTTTTTCTTTAAAAATCTTCTCTGCACCTGGGCATATCAGAGGCAAAAAGAGTAAAAGTTTTAATAGGGAAGGGTATTTTTACCAGATTTTTGAACATCTGGACCATTTGGTCAAGTGTTCTGGTCCCGGCTAGGGCTCTATTAATTTGTAATCTACTGAGAGGAGTTATTCCCCTTTGCCATTTACTTTTGATAATTAATCACTGTAAATAATGTACTTGAAAGGTAAATAGAATAAGAGAATTATGCAAGAATTTTTATTGTATAATACAAAAAGTACTTTCATAGTTTTAATGATCAAGTAGACTTGTAAGTAATAGATAAATAAAAATGAGACAAAAATAACTTGTCTTATTAAATGTTCATCAAAGACCAAGAGAGGCCAATGTAAAAGATTTCAACAAGGAATTAAGATAGTACAGAAGCACTGATAGTTTGTTAATTTACTGTATGGTGATAGTGTTAAATGGGGAACATATTAGAACCTAATTTATGAACTGTAAATGAATGGTAGACTCATTACTTTTTTGATCCTGATCACTCTATTTTTCTTGCTTTTGGGCAAAAAAGCTTCACCATTCAGCTCATTTTATACTCTATGGATTCTCTAAATTGTTGTGTTGTACTCAGGTGACCCTTAAGGCCCTTGGGCCTCTTGTTTATAATTCTGCCTTAATTGATCTTCCATGTTTAAAAATATGCACACATGCATTTAATTATCTAACATCACGTGTCGGAATATAAAGTGTAGGATATGAAAAGTATATCCAGTGAATGATATCAGCTGGATACAGGGATTAGGCATATGTGATAAATAAATTAAATTTTGTACATTTATGATTTATTTATATGATTTCCCATTAACTATTTATTTTACTATTTTTTGTATTCTTATACGGAGTGCATGTATAAAGGTTGCAATCAAAGCAAAAAATTACATTGCCCAGTTATATGCGGAGTTTGTATTTTTTCTACAATGTAATAATAGAAAATTTTACATAGCACAAAAAACATTTTATAATTTAAGGAAAATGTTTACTCAGATGAATAAAAATATCCACTGATAAGAATGAAAACCGCATCTTTTACATTGTAGACCTATAAACCTATATGATTATAGTATTATTATTTACTTTCAAGTTTCAAGTTTTTATTTAAGACAAAGACCCCAACTGGGGTATATGAATACAAATGATACAACAAAATAACATACAAGCATGAATGCATGAATGAGTGGCACTAATATACATGTATAGTTCAAAACATCAAAGTATAGTTCTAAGGCCTCGCTAGTATTAAATAAATCTATATGTATTACAACATAATTTAAACAGCAGTTTTGTTATTATTAATTTATTACTTTGAAATAACTACGTCAATGACCTACTTTTCATGCTAGTGCCCCCTGAGTATTTCTCGGAAATACGTCATTTTTTTTAACACTATGACCAATATTTTCTTTATTAACAAAATATAACCAGAAACAAAACTCCTTGGATAATGAAATATAACGAAAATGGAGTAGTTTTTCTCAATACAAAAAACAATAAGAGTTTGAGCAATTAAATTTTACCAGGCCGAATTTCCTCCTGAATTTTACCAATTTTAATCTAACTGTATATTGCCCTTACTCTGCTGGTATTAAATTTATATCAGGTCAGTGATAGAATCCTTGACATATATTGTCTGGAATAGCTTTGGTTAATAATTTTCATATTCTTCATTGCATGTTATACAATAATTTAAAATAATACTTGGGCTATAACACACATAATGTTTGCAAAATGATATTATAAAAACAAAGAATCTTAATTTTCAGAATAATATTTCAAGAGAAAAAATTAGTTTAAAAAATGATTTTTTTTCTTTAAATTAAGTCTGAATTTCCTCTGCATCAATATAAATTTTCCAGTGTTCTTGCATATTTTCTTCAAATACAGTTGAACTTCGGTATCTCGAACACGAATATCTCGAATACCATGGATATGTCGAAGTTATTGGGAAGTCCTTACCACGTATTTCATAAGTATTTTACCTCGATATCTCGAAGTTTTTTCTTCGTCCCATCGAGTTCGAGATAACGAGGTTTGATTGTAGTAAAACATTAAAATTTAATATTAATAATGGTTTATGAAACTGTCATTTTGTTCATATACAATAATTTGTAATTTAAGGCTTTGTACACCATATCAATCTGTTTCTGTCAACTAAAACCCTGAGTCAACGTCATCTTTAGATAGCAATTCATTTCCGGCTCATTTAGTGATTTCCATTCACAATACGTGTGCCTATACACTTCACTTGCTGGAATATGCAGTTATTTAACACTTGCTGGTATATGCAGTTATTTAACAATTATTTTTTTAAATCATAATGAATATACTGAGTGGAGGTAAATGCAAAAGCCAAAATGATACTTTGCATTATTCAAGATGTGATGGTTGCAACATTGCAATAAAAATACACTATGAAAGACGGACGTGTTATTGTAAACAATCTGAAATATATAATTACATATTTAAAGAGAAGAAAGTACGCAAACGATCGTACTACGATCCGTTGCGTATGTTAAAAAGATAAATGAGCCATACAACACTTGACTTTAACATGTCTTCCATATTTGGAGTTGGGTGGCTTCAAAAATCGCACGATGTAAACTGTTGTTACTGCTGCTGATGACAGCAACAAAATGGTTTTAATAGAATATGTACATGTGGCTATTTCATTAAACTTGATTATCATGAAATCCTTATTTATAATTTTTTTTACAGCTGTACATCTTTCATACTTCCATTTATTTACATTATCACTATATCCTTATTTTTTCTTACACACCTGACTGACTGACTGACTGTACATGTATATTTGTTTCTGAAACATGTTGTTTCCCAAAAGTAGTATACACCTGTACATTTCCGCTCTCCACTGGAAGCTGGACAGACAGCAAATATGGAACAATACAGTTTTCCGGGAGTATTATGTTTATGTCACAGAAGGGGTACGGTACGGGGGCCACGAGCTCCAACTGGACATGTGCCGCTGTTAGTGGATCGAAATATCTGGCAAGGTAACTGATTCTTTTCTTGATACAAATGTCCTAAGGCCTGGTCAAAACCTTTCTTTTTAATGCAAATAGCTTTTTAAACCTGATAAAAATAAAGGAAGGGAAAAGAATTAGTAGCTTCCTTGAAAAATTCAGACAAAAAGTTCTTTACTATCAGCATTGTTAGTGAGAACAACGTCTTTCACTTCTAAGTCAGGTGACTCATAACAACTGATTACATTTGGATCTTGGGTATATTATGTGATTCTTGATAAAGGACTTCAAAAACATGCATTTAAACGAATAATATGATTTTTTTCGTCACAAATTTGTAGTTTTAGTGCATTTAATGCTGTAGTGTTTTTGTTATCCATTAAAACTGTATTTTGAGTAATATTCATTTCTGCTGTAAACAATGCTAGTATTTATAGTAAGGAATGTACACAATAGAAGGAAAATGAAATTTGAAGATAAGGAACAGAGGTCATTCTTAAAAGTCCATTTAAACAATACAAATTCTGAGTCGAGCAGACACTGATCTCCTAAAACGGAGGTGGGATCAGGTACCATGCAGTAGTAAGCATCCCCTGTCGACTGGTCACGCTCGCCGTGTGTTTCTTGTCATGATAGGGTAAACAGAAAATCCGTGGACAATTCAGTGTGAAAATAATGGCTTCAAGACCCTCAATACACCAATGAAAAATGTTTTGGTGGCTCTGAGAAAATTATATCATATAAAGATATGAATATGGAGTTTATCTATTTAATTTTCAAATTTGTCATTTACCCCCAGGAAAAATATTCAAAGACAATGGAGTGTCGGTGAACTGAAATAACTGTTGCTTACTTAAATGGGTAATATGCATGAAAATTAGGGCTGTGCAGTAATATCGATATTCCGGTATATTGTGATTCATTAACAAAAAATATCGTATTGCGATACATTTTTCCAGTACCGATATACCGGCAAACTGCTTGGGCTTTAGATTTCTTAAGTAAAATATGAAATTTAGTATGTCGGAAACGTTTTCAATCGTGCCAAACAGTACCAAACGGTAAGGTTGCTGTTGTATGGTTGCATTTCGTTCCAAAACTGTAGTAAAATCAACAAAAAAATTTTGCAACAATTTATTTATACTAGTTTTACACACGTTGCTTATAGATGGAGGTTAATGAAATAAGAAAAAGAACATTTTTACTGTCTTTGAAAATATTGCAATACACATCGAAATACAATTCAAAATATTGCAATATATCGCAATACGAAATTTTCAGCCGATACCCAGCCCTAAATTGCAAATAAAGTGTTCAATTAATTCAACTAGTCCAAATGAAATGTTAAGAATGCTTGAATTGATTACAAATTGAATAATAAACTTTAAATTTTAATTCATTTCATGTTAAATCTAAGAGCAGATCAATCTAACTGCATAAAAATACCATGACTTAGAACTCTTTAGTGTGTAGTGTATAGAGGGTACTTAACATTTTGTATGAAAGACGTCAGAATATATTTGCAATCAATGTCATTGTATCGACAATAGAATTCGCAAAATGTTGAACGTTAAACGAGATTGTTGATATCCTGGTATCATCAACTTATTTTGTCAATAGCTTGCCTTGTTTTAAAAATTACTCGTAGAACATGCTCTGGCCAATCGAATCAACTGGGAGACATAAACTCCAAATGCAGGTGATAACGGTATATTGCTACATAAATAAGAGAAGTTGTCGATAGAAAAGTTTAAGTCATCGTGTTCTTCATAAAGTTTGATTCTTAGTTTGACGTCAGACTTTTGAGCTTGAGTTCTGTTCCTTATCTCCATACATTTCATCATTGTCTTTCTCTAGTAAAACATCCAAATATGAAACAGACCTAAAACTTCTTTTGATAGAACGACGACCACAGTATCTCTAACGTATGGATCCATAGGAACTCTTCATCTGTACCTGTATCTATGTATGGATATCACTATGGTTACGCAACATTCTTATTATTACTATCAGCAAACAGGTAAAAACAATTTATATAATTTATAAATTTATTTAAGAAGTATTTTTAAATATTCAAATTACATAAAGAATATTCTTTGAAAATTTTTCACAAGGAATATTTTCTTATTGTTTTTAGTTGTTTTCCGTCATTTTCTTTCTCTGCTAATTATTATTCAACATATCCAATGAAAAATTCTTAAATCTTAGAGGACAGCGTCGATCTGGGGCGAATGAAAGGAAGTGTGTCTGATTCTTATACGATTTCTGACGTGTGCACAACAACTGCTCCGGTAGAACTATTCCAAGTTCTAGTTAAACAAGGTACCCAGTTTAACACTATCGCCATAAATTTTCCAATGCTGGCAAAGCATGAAATGAAAAGGGTGAAGATAACGAACAGTTATCAAATTCATAAATCCAGTACAAAATTCGAAGAGGGCAAAACACGGACCTCTTGAAAAAAAACCCAGTTGGGATCAGGTGACAAGGAGGAGAAAATCCCCTATCGGCCTGTCACACCATCCGTGAACCCTCTGTATTGATCAGGGAAACTAAGTATTGTCAAAATGATATGAAACAATTACCTTACAATTGGCGGGAAACAGGTCAGTCAAAATACGACCCAACGATAGGTTGTATTTGCAAAGAAGATTATTATAATGATCCAGAATTTGGGAAAAGCTGACTTTAAACGAGATAGTTTTGAAGACAAAAATCCCTGTAACATCAAGTTGTTTGTCAGTAGCCTCCATCGGTGTAAAAATTGATTGTACTCAGAAAATGCTCTTTAGTATCAAATCAGTTTGAAGACATAAAAACCATATGCAGGTGTTTGTGGAACAGTACAACATAAATATAGAAAGTTGACGATGGAAAAACTCAAGTAATTCCATTTGTCATAAAGTTTATTGTTAGGTTACCATTAACGTCTTTTTCTAGTAAAATATCCAAATATGAAACAGATTTGTCAGTCTCTGTGGTATCTTTATTTGGAGTTCACTGGGATATAGAGTCGATTCGACATATGAATGTAAGTAACTATTGTTAATTGATACCAGGTAATACGTCGTCGATAAATCTAAATGTCGAGTTGAAGGCCACAGCAAGTCATTTCGTTTCTCATACGGTTAAGTTGTTAGTTGGTCATTAACATCTGTAGTCAGTAAAACATCAAAGTAAGAAGCACATGTGACAGACTCTTGTGTATCTTTAATTTCCAGTTCAATGGGATATATCGAGTGAATGAAAATAACTATCATTAATTGCATGATAAAACGTCGTTGATTTATCGAAATGTTGAATTGAAAGCATTAGAAAGAGTGTTCTACTGTACAAAAAAAAAAAAAACATATTCGAGAAGGTGTATATTTAAAATGTGGATACTTAAAAACCTTAAGAAAATTTGAAATCACAAGATTTTACCAAAACCAATAGCATCAAAAGGAATGACTTTTCAACACTTTATACAACCAGGGTTTTTCACATCATAAACAAAGTTCTGCTTCTTCAATAAAAATGGAACACGTAAATTTGCATATCTTGTCATTGGTCATATGCAAATGTATTTTGTTTTTTTAAAAAAACATTCTGATTCTATACAGAATTACTCTGCGGTTTTTCATCAAAAAGATGCTCGAATTTTTCATTGACAATATCTATGTAATCTTTGGAGAACAGGTCTTTTAACAATCAGTTAGAATTCCCATAGGTCCTAATTGTATCCCATTATTAGCAGACCTGTTTTTGTACTTCTATGGAGCAGATTTTATTCAAGAACATTTTACATGAAAAGAAGTCTCTTACTGTGGCATTCAATTCGACATTTAGATAAAGCAACGACGTTCATCTTCATGCCAATTTTGATTCGATATATCCCATTGAACTCGAAATAAAAGACACCACAGAGTATGGTACATCTGTTTCATATTTTGATGTTAACGTTTTAGAAAAAGACATTGATGGCAAACTAACAACTATACCTTTCTATTAACGTGATAACTTTAACATTTCTATCGTTAACTTGGTCTCCATGACTACATAGATACTGTCAATGAGGTACTCCAGCATCTTTAAGATCACATGCCAAATGTTTTGGCGATCGGCAACGATTCTGTGTGCGATCATACAACTAAAAAATATGATAAACATGCGATCGTGCAGTTTGAAATTCATTTAACACCTTTAATGAAATATAGTAAGAGATGGGCTGAAAGTCTGTCCAAACAGAACATGACACCGAACATTCAATTTCAGAGTACTTGTGTTTGGATTCAGAATTTTTTACAAAGTAATCCAGTAGATGACCAATCACAAGATATGAACATTTGCAAGTTCCATTTTTATTGCAGAAGCATCTCAAATTTCTGATTTTGTTTGTTTGTTTGTTTGTTTTTTTTTTTTTTTTTTTTTTTTTTTTTTTTTTTTTGCGTTAGAGTACAGCTTGTCAACATAAGGTATACATGTGATATGAAATTCTGTTTCCGGTGAGAAATTTGTTGACTAATTCATTTTTTTTTTTTTTTGGCCAGGGTCCGAAGAGAACGCTATGACGACATGCCCCACACCATTACTTGGCTCATTTACATACACTTATTACGACAGTTCTACATCTTGTGGGACGACCTCGGAGTGGGACGGATGTACAGACACTTCGCGTATTAAACTCAACTACACGCTTTGTAGCAAGGTCGTAGCTTACTCAGGTATGTGTTGAAGAAATTCATTGATGACCTTCTCTCTTTTTTCATGCATGTAGCATTTTTTTTAGGGTGGGGGTGTTTTTGTTTGTTTAAATGTCCACGTCTCAACGAGGATTTTTCATTTATATTAGTACGCCACCATTTGCCCGTGGATGGCTCCGAGGCCATAAAACTTAGATGAGCTCACTTTTGATCTCAGTCTCACTTTTCCACTAATAATTCCTTTTGTGAAAGTGAAACTGAGATCAATAGTGAGCTCATCTAAGTTTTATGGCCCCGGAGCCTGTTCTCGGCACTTATTGTCATTAAGCAGTGAGAAAAACTTTTTTATGCAAGCACCTACTGTGATGTATGTACGGGACCTTGGCCAGCCAATCTAGGAATAAAAATTCTATAGAATATTAATGACAAAAGATTCCTCTCAGAAAAGAATTTTAAAAATCTAGTTTGATATTGACCATCTAAAACTCGTAATAATATGTGTTCTTTGTTCTTCTTCCTTTGTACACATCATTCATTGAGATGTACAAGTAAATATATAATTGAATATGACGACCTAAAAGTGCTTATTTTAAGAGGTCCAAACTTCAGGGAGCCCCATCTTTCAAATGGCAACAGAACTTCAGGGAACCCAGATATTTCAAATGGCGCCAGAATTTCATTTATATCATGAATTCTGAAGAGGTTATCCCAGACTTTGTAATTAATACAAAGGGGAAGACCTCGACACTTTGAAAGGATGATTGATTGATTATTGCTTAACGCCGAGTCGGCAATATTTCAGCCATTTTTCGGCGGAATTGAAAGGATGAAGAGTAATAGGTACATATTGAAGTCTCTAAGTAGACAATTAAAAAAAGAAATATATACCACATATACATCTGTCTTAAAAGACTGTGATTTTTAAAAAAAAAAAAATAAGAAAGCTTACATAAAAAGTTTAGATGTAATGTTCCAAGCTGACAAAGCTGCAGCAACGTACGTAATCTTTGTTTGTAAGGCTCTTTATTACAACTGCACATTAGAAGAACTTGGCTTTTACTCCACATCTGGTAATCCAACTCACACTAATGATTCCCTTTCAAATGCTGAAATTCTTCAAAATCATGTTTCAGTTTAAAATACTTTAAACATCCCATTCCATGGGAATTGATTTGAGTAGCCGTACTTGTACTGGATTTCAAAACTTCATACAAATCCTAACAAACCAAGGTACACTGCAGGGTCCTGTTCATGTTCTACCAAGCCTCTTTCTGTAATCCTCACAAGAATATTAACTGCTTTGAAGGAGAGACTTCAGACCTACTGTGATTCAACATATTCAACAAGTGCTGTAAATCAAATGTATTCCCAACAAGAGGCCCAAGGGCCTTAACGGTCACCTGAGTACAACAATTTAGAGAATCTATAAACTGAAAAATGAAGCTTTTTTTCCAAAAGCAAGAAAAATAGTACGATTAAGATCAACAAAATAATTGGTCTAGTATCTATCTATCTGTCCCCCATTTATCACTATAACCATGCAGACTTTTCACAAAATATCTATTTTTAACCCCATATTATTACCTCTCACATTGGCCTCACTTGGCCTTTTAAGAACATTTAAAAAGATAAGTTTTTTTTTGTTTCATTTTTATTCATCTATTATTTCCAAGTGTACTTGATCATTAAATCTAGGAAAGTACTTTTTGTATTATACAATTAATGTTCTTGCATAATTCTCTTATTCTATTAACCTTTCAACATTATCCACAGTGATTAATTATCAAAGGTGAATGGCAAAGGGGAATAACTTCACTCAGTAGAATACAAATTAATAGAGCCCTGGCCAGGACCAGAACACTTGACCAAATGGTCCAGATGTTTAAAATTCTGGTAAAAATACCCTTGCTTATTAAAACTTTTACTCTGTTTGCCTCCAATATGCCCAGGAGCAGAGAAAATTTTCAAAGAAATAATGCATTTTTACTATTTAACACAGCCCTACCCTAACACCATTACCCATGACCCAGGGTCATGAAATTTAAAAATTTAGAAGAGGTACCCTCATCATCATAACTATGCAATTAGTTGAAGATTTTCACTATATTATCAATAGAGCCCCCCCCCCCCCCTCCCAGAGAAACAACAGAATCCCTGGGACCACAAGTTTTAAAAATTTTGTAAAAGCATCCTTGCTCATCATAACTATACACTTGTTTCTTTGCTTTATAACCAGGAGTAGAAAAAATATTTTGAAAGAAATTATGAATTTTCACTATATAATCAGTAGAGCCCCCCCCCCTTTCACAAGAACCCCTTACCCTGGGGCCGTGAATTTCACAATTTTGGAAGAGGCATTCTTGCTTATCATAACCATGCACTTCCTTTGTTTAAATAATAACCAGGAGCAGAGAAGATTTTCAAAGAATTGATGCATTTTCACTATATAATCAATAGAGCCCCGCTCTAACAGCAGAACCCCTGATCCTGGGGCCATGAAATTCACAATTTCTGAAGAAGCACTCTTGCTCATCATAAATATGGTTTTAGTTTTTTTAACACCCATGAGCAGAGAAGAAGATATTCATTAGAAGATATGTCAGTTTTGAATATTTTTAAAATTCCAAACAATCAAAATGAATTTGAATTACCATATTTATATTGGATTCCGAAACTTCCAAAAAATCCTTACAAACAAAGATACATAGCTGGTTCCAGTAAATGTTCAACCAAGCCTCTTTCTTTACTCCTCACTAAGATATTAACAGTGGTGAAGGAGAAACTTCAAGAGTACTGTGCAACAATATATTCGAGAAGTGGTGTAAATCAGATGTGGATACTTAAAAATTCCAAGGAACTTTTGGAAAATTTGAAATCACAAGATTTTACCAAAATCAACAGCTTAAAAACTTACGACTTTTCTACTTTATACACAACCATTCCCCCACGATAAATTAAAGTCCAGGTTTTTTGATATCATTGACAGCTGCTTTTTCAATAAAAATGGAACTCGTAAATATACTTACCTTGTCATTGGTCATTTGCAAAATTATTTTGTTAAAAAACATTCTGATTGTACACACAAGTACTCTGAAGTTGACATTAAAAAGATGCTTGAGTTTCTGATTAACAATATGATTGACAATATCTATGTGGTTTTTGGAGACCAGGTCTTCCAACAATCTATTGGAATTCCCATGGGTACCAATTGCGCCCCGTTATTAGCAGACCTTTTTTTGCATTCATATGAAGCAGAATTTGTCCAAAATCTTGTACGTGAAAAGAAGAAAACACTTGCTGTGGCCTTCAACTCGACATTTAGATATATCGACGATGTATTGTCAATTAACAATGGCTATTTCCATTCTTATGTCGATACGATATATCCTGGTGAGCTTGAGATAAAAGATACCACAGAGTCTGACACATCTGTTTCATATTTGGATATTTTACTTGAAAAAGACGTGAATGGTAATCTAACAACCAAGCTTTATGATAAACGTGATGACTTTAACTTTTCAATCGTCAACTTCCCTTACTTATGCAGCAATATACCTTCATCACCTGCATACGGGGTATATATCTCTCAGTTGATTCGATACGCAAGAGCATGCTCTACATATGTACAATTTCTAAAACGAGGTAAATTATTGACAAATAAGTTGATGAAACAAGAATATCAGCTGTCTCGTTTAAAGTCATCATTTCGTAAGTTCTATGGTCGATACAATGACCTTGTCAGCAAAAACAATTTATCATTGAGTCAAATGCTGACTGACGTTTTTCATACTAGTTGTTAGGCCATTGTTTACACACTGAATTGTCGACGGATTTTTCCGTTATTTTCCAATCATGACAAGGAGCACACGGCGGGTGTGACCGGTCGGCAGGGGATGCTCACTCCTCCATGGCACCTGATCCCACCTCTGATGTTTAGAGGTCCGTGTTTGCTCTGCTCCTATTTTGTATTGTTTAATGGACTTTTGAGCTTGAATACTGTTCGTTATCTCCATATATTTCATTCACGCACGCCGACGGACGAAAACGGATAGCAATAGGTCACCTGAGTAAACTCAGGTGACCTAAAAATTCAAAAGAATTCTTTAAAAAAAAAATAAGATAACATTTTTTCAAACTCAACAGCATCATAACGTTCGATTTTTCAACTTTAGACGATCGTTCCTCAAGATAACTTAAAAACCAGTCTCGTTTAGTCAGTATTTCGCAGATTCTTTGGTCATTGTAATTACATGTGCCTCTTTTGTAAACACAAACTATCGTTGGGTGGAATTTTGATTGACATGGTTTATACCAATTGCTGACTCGGCGTTTAATTTTAAACAATTTACCAATCATACTTGTTCTGACTTAGGGATTACTCTGTTTACATCACAGCCGCTGTGACCTGTCTACAGGGGATGCCATTTCCTCCCAGGCACCTGATTCCAACTCCATTTCATTCTACTCCTTGTGTTTCCGGGAATCCGCGTTTTTTGTCCGTTTCTCGATTTTTATTGCTTACAGGAAATACGAGATTGATCACTTTCCATTATTTTCATCTTTTATTCACTGTTACAGCTGGAGGTGAGCTTGGCTGTGTAGTAAACATTCAGTCCGGTAGTACTTACTATGTAGGGTTGTATAACTTTGATTCAACGGTAGATGGTGCAGCAACAAGAAGATATACTTGTCTGGTAATTCTAAATATTGTAATTCGAGTAAAATGTATTTGTAGATATGTTCAATGTAACATTGATCCCTTTCATTTTTTACTAGTTACATAAAATCATATTTTGTGCTTTCCATCATCCAATGTAGGCCATGTCTTCTGGAACTTACGTCAATATCTCTCAGTCACCTGACCACTGCCAAACGTCACAGTCTGCTCACGTGTTACCAACATCGGGAGCTTTACTGAGTTTGTTGCAAACAGGTACAGAATACAAGACAACTTAATTCAATGTACAGTCTAAAGAACTCAAGAATTTTTGGATAAAACTTGTTCAATTGGGGGCATGCGGGTGCATACACAAAATCCCAAAACAAGGAGTATCTTTGACATCGTTGAAGCATTAATAAACACAGAAATTTTTAACCTACTGCACTAGTAAAATAGGGGTCAACAAAATAAAATTAAAATTCTACAAAATTTTTTGTGGGACTGTATACATGTTGCAATGTTATGGCATACTGCCTTCAAGGATTAAGAGAGAGCTCATATTCTTGAGAAAAATATTGCAGATGACCACTTCCAAGTTTTAAAATGTTCTATCAACAAATAAAACAACTGAATTCATATTTCCTTTTTTCTTTTACTAGCATTTTTTATTTTTTCAGTTTCCTGTGGTAAGTAAATAAAATTCATATACTATTTTCTAGTATAAATCAAAAAGCAAAACGCCAAGAAAAAAAGTATCAAAAAGGAAATTAATAAAGAACTAAATGTATGTTTGAACCCTGTTTTGAAGAACCCCTTTTCATTGAGAATTTTTTATCATGACATTAAGGCGGTATGTGCAAATTCTTTATTTTTCTATTTTATGCTATCGTCCACAGCTCCAACTTCTTTAGCTGAGGCTAACAATACCTTAGCGATTGTTTTGTCTGTCCTGGCCGTTTTGTTTGTTATCTATGTGGTCATCGTCGTATCCCTGTATTGCTATAGACGAATCTACTGGAAGAGAAGGATGGACAGGAAACCTATTTTAAGTAAGTGGATGTGACGTCTGCATTGCTCTATCGTAATTTCGTGTGGCCTTTAGTAGTACACTTAAAAACAACCACAAGAAAAAGTGAGGTTATTTCATGAGGACATCTGAATTGTCAGAAATATTAGTTTTTTCCAAACGAAAAATATGCAGAAATGGAGAACAAATCTTAAATATGGTAACAATTAAGTTAATGTTATAAAAAATACCTTAGAAAAGCACTTGCATAAAGAGGAGTGAAGGTCTTGTGATGAATATCTCTTTCCAGTTCCAAAGGAACTGCCGACTGGTGGACATGAACTTTTGGCAGAGTCCGAGACAACAACTGATGTTAACGCTGCCATCAGGCGGGAAGGAACACACGTCTCCGTTCTAGATGGTGGAGGGCAACCTCAGACACGACTGATGGAAGACAGAATGAAACAAATGGTACCTATACCTAATGCCAATGTCCGTCCTCTATCAAGATTTTATCTCAGTAAGAAGGTTCCGAGAATCGATAAACTTCAAAGCTACCGACACAAAGAGATGCACAAAGTTTCTCAAGTCTTCAGTCGCAACAGTAGTCAGCAAACTATTTATCGTCCGACGGTAGCTAGCAGACAATCCTCAATGTCACGAGCCAAGACGTTACATCGAGGTTCCACACAAACATTGACAAATGGTAGTCTTTATTCGGGGACGCTTCCCTCATTGAGGAGCTCCTCTAGTGTGAGACTTTCCATTTACAGTTTATCCAGCAAACAAGATGCCAAGTCATCGGTGTCGTCTGGTTTTGGAAGTGATGATGGTAGAACTATATCTCCGGATCCAGAAATTCAGAACCAGAACAGAAATAAGACATTGTCTAGAGCCAGCAAATCAACGTACAATAAGGTGCGTCCTGTATCACATGATCAAAATACTGAACCCCAAGTACCTAGTTTGTACAATTTTGTGATGGCTGAAGGATAGTTTCCAATAGGATTATTTTTTTAATTTAATTTTCTCGTTTTAGAAATAATATTATTATGTAATATTCGTTATTATTTGTGTACACAATTAAAGAAGGAAAACTTTGTTATGACATGTGACCTCTAGAACATGTGCATTGTAATAGGAACAAAATTAAATAAATAACAATTCCTCAATCGGCTTCCACTATCCAACGAACAGAATAAATCCTATTTTTTCGGGGTTTGTTAAAGACATTAAATTATGCCATGATATTTCAGAAAATACTGCTAACATTTAATAAAACTTGGTTGATATTGGCAATATACAGATTTGTAAATTATTGAGTAAATATTTTAAATTTTAGCATATAGTCATATACATGTATATGAAATATATGGAGATAACGAACAGTATTCAAGCTCAAAAGTCCATTAATCAATACAAAAAGGAGCAGAGCAAACACGGACCTCCAAACATCAGAGGTGGGATCAGGTGCCATGGAGGAGTGAGCATCCCCTGCCGACCGGTCACACCCGCCGTGTGCTCCTTGTCATGATCGGGAAATAACGGAAAAATCCGTCGACAATTCAGTGTGTAAATAATGGCCTAACAATTAGTATGAAAAACGTCAGTCAGCATTTGACTCAATGATAAATTGTATTTGCTGACAAGGTCATTGTATCGACCATAGAACTTACGAAATGATGACTTTAAACGAGACAGCTGATATTCTTGTTTCATCAACTTATTTGTCAATAATTTACCTCGTTTTAGAAATTGTACATACGTAGAGCATGCTCTTGCGTATCGAATCAACTGAGAGATATATACCCCGTATGCAGGTGATGAAGGTATATTGCTGCATAAGTAAGGGAAGTTGACGATTGAAAAGTTAAAGTCATCACGTTTATCATAAAGCTTGGTTGTTAGATTACCATTCACGTCTTTTTCAAGTAAATATCCAAATATGAAACAGATGTGTCAGACTCTGTGGTATCTTTTATCTCAAGCTCACCAGGATATATCGTATCGACATAAGAATGGAAATAGCCATTGTTAATTGACAATACATCCTCGATATATCTAAAAGTCGAGTTGAAGGCCACAGCAAGTGTTTTCTTCTTTTCACGTACAAGATTTTGGACAAATTCTGCTTCATATGAATGCAAAAAAGGTCTACTAATAACGGGGCGCAATTGGTACCCATGGGAATTCCAATAGATTGTTGGAAGACCTGGTCTCCAAAAACCACATAGATATTGTCAATCAGAAACTCAAGCATCTTTTTAATGTCAACTTCAGAGTGAACAATCAGAATGTTTTTTAACAAAATAATTTTGCAAATGACCAATGACAAGGTAAGTATATTTACGAGTTCCATTTTTATTGAAAAAGCAGCTGTCAATGATATCAAAAAGCCTAGACTTTAATTTATCGTGGGGAATGGTTGTGTACAAAGTAGAAAAGTCGTAAGTTTTTAAGCTGTTGATTTTGGTAAAATCTTGTGATTTCAAATTTTCCAAAAGTTCCTTGGAATTTTTAAGTATCCACATCTGATTTACACCACTTCTCGAATATATTGTTGCACAGTACTCTTGAAGTTTCTCCTTCACCACTGTTAATATCTTAGTGAGGAGTAAAGATAGAGGCTTGGTTGAACATTTACTGGAACCCGCTATGTATCTTTGTTTGTAAGGATTTTTCTGAAGTTTCGGAATCCAATATAAATATGGTAATTTAAATTCATTTTGGTTGTTTGGAGTATTAAAAATATTCAAAACTGAAGATATGCATGAAGCTTTATGGTATTAGAGAATTGTTCTTTTATTTTTCTGACGAGTTTTCATAATCATTGCTATAATGAGATTTAGAAAAGGATCCTGAATCGACAAAACTATAAATACCGATAAATAAATGCATAAAATTATCACGTGAGTTAACTGTTTGATCATCATCATAAATCCAAAACAAAACCAAAAAACAAACAACAAACAGACGTTTCTCGTATTTACATTTTACCTGATCATATTGCTTCAATAAAAAAAACGCTGTTTTAATTTAGTAGTTAGAAACTGTACTTTGGAAGCCCAACCTATCATATTACTAATTAAGCCACAAATAGTGTGAAGGCAGTTCAGTCACGTGATGAGCAAATGGTTTTATGGAGATATAAAATCTCTTTCCTTATTTGTAGGTTTATCTCAAAGACATATTTGAAAATATTTTAGTCTAAACAGATGTATGTAATTAAAACAATTATGGATATTGTATACTATGTAGTATTTATGACATCAGAGAACTTATCTCGATAACACTTATATTAATCAAATATGTCATCTTTATGTGATGTATACATAACAATAATTTGTAATTTATCAACATAAACGTACAGAATAATTGGTAAACAATAACTGCTAAAGTTTAAAGTCGTAGATGAAACCAGTTTTATGTCTCACAATCGGCGCCTCGTTGATTTTGAGCGCAACCTTTTTAATGAGAGATATAGCCCTTACATCTATGTATTCAAACATTTTGATCAGGAACTTGTAGTCCCCCACAGAAAGCAGACCATTCTTTTCCAGGTAAACAAAGTCCCTTCTGATGGTGGTGTACTCGTGACGGGTAAATCGACAATATCTCGTGAGATAGTTCTTCCACCGCCGGAAGTTCTGCCCACCATTCATACTTCCGGCTAAATAGGCTGTTGTTAGCGTCTCCTTCAAGTTGTTATGGAGATCGAGTTTGGTATTTTTACAGAGGTGAGACCTGTAATGCATGTATAAGATTATTTTAGTGTAGAAATTTTCAAAACAATAAAAGCGTTGGAGTAAAGCCCGTTTAGTTTGCGAATGAATGATCATTGATAGCAATACGCTGTAACTAATGTGACTAAATTAATTGCAGCTGTATAGAGTTCCGGTGTCAATTGAGACAAAAAACTGCTTTATCGATTAAGTGACCGCTTTCTGATATCATATCTATAATACAGGTTGTTGTTCCTTCTAGAGGATAAACAGATAAATGTACCTTAATCTGCAAACTCTCATATTTAATGAGAAAGGGAGAAAAATTTGCATCGATTTATTTTAAGATAGGGTTTCTTAAATACAGCACGCCAAACAGGCATTTGTCAACCAATCGATTACTGTTATCGGAAGACTGTTCAAAACAGCCAAATTTAAATCTTTTTAATTAGATGGTATGCTACAATGTTAGAGTGGCAAAAGGTTCTCCATCTCGGAAATGTTCAGGTGAATAAAGTGTACCATACCAACTATGAATTTCATAGCTCTTTTGTTATGAAAGTCCATTGGCCCCATGCACGGTCAGAGGTTCTAGTATTTGAGTGGAGCTCATTTCCCTTACAAAACTGTTATGTTTGCTGCAGACCTGCAGCAAGTCTGCTGCAAGTTTGCAGCAAACAAAATTGTTCGCAGGAAGAAAAATTTCTCGTTCGCAGATGATTGCCGCTAGCTGCGATCTTGCGGCAAACATTGCAGCAATTGCTGTAAGCTTGCAGCAAATTCGCAGGAACTCAACATTGCAAGAAACATACACGCCAATCTGTTGTTCGCAGCAAGTTTGCAGAAAACATTCAACAAATTGAATGTTTGCAGCAAGTTCGCAAGAACAGTAAACAACTCAAATCAGCCAATGAAATGTAGATTGTACTGGGGTCAACACAGAATTCGCCATTTTGAACATGTTGAAATGTTTGAATTGAAGTTGTATATGTATCAGCATTTAGTAAGGAATATGTACCATTTTGAATGGTTACAAAAGCATAATTCTGGATGTAGGTGTACATGGCATACACAACATTGATAAGATCTGATTTTGTTTTATTTTGATATGAAACAATTATCTCTTTAAAGAATCTTTAAGTAACTGATGTACTTGCTAGGTCAAATCTTAATTTATTTATAAATTTTAATCTTTATTTTAATATCACATTTGTATGTTTCGTTAAATGTATTAAAGGTTCCAAATCAATTATTATAAAGGTTTATTTGTTTTCAAATAAATTGGTATTAACCGGAAAATTTTATTGTTAAGAAATGTGGAAAGGTACACGTATGAAATCTCAACCTCTCTAATGTCTCCAGCAAGTTTGCAGCAATGTTTGCTGCAGACTTGCAGCAAATGTTTGCGGGAAGGCAATATTTTTTGCAAGGGTGATCATATAAATGCTTTTAAAATCTTATCTCTACCCAAGTATATATAGCAGTCAAACTAAGCGCATGGTTATGACAAACAAGGGTACCTCTTCCAGTGTGAGAAATTCATGGCCCTTGGGTAAGGGTTTTTCTTAGAGCGGGGCTCTTTTGAGCATATAGTGACATTTCATTAATTCTTTGCATGAAAATCTTTTTCTCTGCTCCGGGGAATTTACCACATAAACAGATGCATGTTTATGTTGAGCAGGGGTGCCTCTACCTTAATTGTGAAGTTAATGGCCCTGGCTCAAGGGTTCTAGTGATAAGGTGGGGTTCTATTGATCATGCAGTGAAAACGTCAGTTCCTCTAAAAATCTTCCCTTCTCCTGGGTACCAAATTCAAAGTTGTAATGAGCAAAAATGTTTTACCAGATTTGTGAAAATCGTGACCACTGGGTCAAGGGTTCTGGTGCTAGGCAGGGCTATAGTGATCCTGTAGAGATATTTCACTCTACTTTGAGAGAAATTATTTCCGTTTGATTGTTTACCTATGATAATTAATAACTGTATATAATATAAGTGATAAAAATATTTAATAAAATAATTATACAAGGTTTTTAGGGTAATAATGTTTAGGTAGACTTGTGAATAATAAATAACTATCATTAGACTAAAATACCTTACTTTTTGTTTTGTAAATGTCATTTAAAGATCAAAGGGGACCAAGGAAAGAGGTCTGTACCGGGTTTTAACACTGAATTTTCATTCTGAAGCACTCTGGGGTTGTAAATATGGTTGATAATTGCGAATGGGAAAATCGTCAGCAATGGCATTTACAATCAAGTAAATAGATCTACTTTC